GCATGCAAGGCAAGTGCTCTATCACTGAGCCACCTTCCCAGCCCAATATACTCAGTGTTTTGCACAACTAGACCTTCATTGTCTTTGACTGCTAATTGGTTTCTGTCATTTTTGTCTGAATTCTGATGCTCAGTTAAACAGTAACTAGTCATAATACCATTTCTCCCTGTACGTCGGCAGTGTCCCACTTCATCCTCATGTGACCTGTCAGATTTGGAAAGAAATACTGTGAAGTTCTCCAAAGACGAATCCCTAGACAATACTCTCCAGCACCACTGAAGTTTTCCTTAGGTATTAGGAAGTGAAGACCTTAGACATGAGACTAATTAACTCAGTAGTAATTAGTGAACGTTTGAAGAGTGTGTCATCAAGTCATGTTCTACTCTGTAAACCCCAGGGACTATAAGCGGCGAGGTGGATTTGGTCGTTTTTATGGTCCAGAACCTTTTCTACAAAATGATGCAGGAACTGTTGCTGAGACCCAGAATAAATGGCTCCAGAGTTATGTGAGCCTTGCCCTACATTTATGAATCAGATTTTGAGTGGCAACCACAGTGGTTTCCTTGTATGTCATTCATGCTGTTGCAGAGGATGTGAGGCCATTTAGCTGGCTTGGTTTGTAGTTTCTCTTTTAGGGTTGCATGGCCCTCCTTTCCTTTTTAGAAGCCACAACAGTTTTGATGTATTATCAAACCACAGAATGTACCTTCTTGGGTGTCTAGGAGGAGGAAATGTGTTCACATTATTTGGTAGTCTCAGTACTGTTTGTAGAACTCTGGTTTAGTGTTCTCTTGAAAGTATAATATAAATGAACAAATGTGTACACACACACACGCACACACATATATGGGGTAGCTGGCACATGGGCATACAAATGCAGACCTGTGAAAACAATTTGAAGCCCTTTGAATATATTAATTTGAGTTTAAAGTTTAAGGTTTTAGAATGGGGAATGTAACTCAGTGGTAGAGCACATGCCTGGCAGGTGCAAAGCCCTAGGTTTAACCCCTCGCCTTGGGGGGGAAAACACCTCTCTCCCCTCTCTCCTCTCTTTCCTTCTCTCCCTTCTTTCTGTTCTCTTCCCCCTCCCTCCTCCCCTCTCCCCTCTCCCCTCTCTCCTCTCTCCTCTCTCTTCTCTCTCCTCTCTCCACGCCCCTTTCTTTCCTTTTTCTCTCTCCTTCCTCCTCTTTCCCTACTTTCTCACCTCTCTCCCTCTTTCCCCTCTCTCTTCTCTTGAGGGAAATGAGATCCTGCAAGCAGTTCTAAAGGGGGAGCAGGAAGTGCAGTGGCCACACGGTGACAGTCAGTTTGTTCAGTGTGCCTTGTGTTCATATGTAGAAATGAATCTACCTCATGCTACAAATGTATCTTAACTGAAGAAAGAAAAAAAGTTCTTTTGTTTAACATGACTCTCACATGTCCAATCTTTCTTACTCTGCCTCAGCATCAAGGCCTGCCATGGGCTGCCGCTCATCAACGGACAGAGCTGTGACCCTTATGCAACGGTGTCGCTAGTGGGTCCTTCCAGGTAATGCTTACAGAACTGTCACTGCGTTTCACAGTTTAAAATTGGATTTAAAATTGGAACTTGAAGGTTCTTAGAGAAAATGCTAGGCAACTGGAGCTTTGAAAACAACAAATCTTCAATACACTCTATATTTTACACATAAGCAGCCAGTTTCTACTTTTACAGAAAGAAGTGAGGCGTCATTTTACAGAAAGAAATGAGTGTCATTTCTGTCTTTGATATGTAGTTAGGTTACGAGGATATCCTCAGTTCTATATTCTTAAAACGTATTTTAAAGCATAAACTTGGACTTCTTTACTCTTAAGCATTCCCACTTTGAAATGTCCAGGTAAAATCTCATTCTAATAGATAGCAACTCAGAATAATGAAGACAATCTCTATATTTTATTCTAGAAAATAGCTAAGAACTGAAAATTGCCTTTTTTATTTATGCGAGCTGTGTTCTACAGAGAGAAGTCCAGTATGTAGACATACTGCTGAATTAGCACTGATCTAAATGGTTTATGCCATTTTATGAAGAAACAACAGCACTTTGTAATACTTCATAATATAACTTCAGTTTGGTTTCTTTAAGGGGCAATTTGTCTGCAAGTTTTGAAGATTTCGAATGAGGAAACAAAAACCACAATATCTATCATACACACACATAAACACATAAAGAGACACATCACTTATCATCCCTAAGAGTTCTGGTTACTTTTTCAATCACTAAATTACATTTTGTTTTGTTTTGATTTGTTTTGCCAGTCCCGGGGCTTGAACTCTGGGCCTGGATGCTGTCCCTGAGCTTCT